TTAGGAATTTGTTGGAAACACAATGGCAGCCCTTCTTTGTGAAGTCTTTCACATCTGTGAAAATGGAGCTGTACTTGTGGGGTCTCAGAACTAAGATACTTTGGCCCACACCTCTCACTTAGAGTGCTTGGAAATGTTTGATTCGGATGGAATAGTGACTAAGACCTTTTGAGGTGGGAAGGCAATTCTCATTTCAGAAGACAAATGCCAGTTAAACTTAATCCTGTGTTGGGTCCTAGTCACCCGTGCTGTTTTGTAAGATCTCTTCTGGAAAGAAATGGTAAATTCTCTTCATCCTGACTCAGTTTGACTTTCGGCTTCGGCCATGATTTCCTTTGTCCTTTTCTTGTTTATAATAGCCTTGATGTGCAACTCATTTCTGCTTCTGGAGTGTTCAACTTGGATGTTGATTAGAAGCAAAAAAAATTTAAATCTTTATTCTGTAATATTAATAGAAATCTGCTACTTGTTCTCATGGAAGACTTTGATTATTTTGCTAATGAAAACAAGTTCTACATTGAAAACTTCTAATTGGATAAGAATAAACTATTGTTGGCATTTATCAGAAAATTAAGACCCATAAAGAAAGACCCATGGGGGGGTTATAAACAATCCAATTAATAGCCAATTCAGAGAAAAATACAGATGGCCAGAAATGTAAGATTCTGAACCTTATTAGTAATAACATACTTCAAAGCAGAACACTAGGTTTTGGGTTTTAAATAAGATGATCAGGTTGGGAAAATGAACAATTTCAGATATGACCAGAAGAATGTAAATCCTTGAAAACATGAGAGTCTCCCTCTAGCCCACTCAGTACTTGGTTCACTAATTCCACTTCTGGTTCAGGAGTCTAAACCCCCTGATTAGTGGCCAAGGAGGCATGCACACCGGTGATTACTGAACAAGTGTTTGTTGTTGTGGGTTGTTTGATTTTGTTTTCTGTTTTATTTGAGGCAGGTTCTTCCTATTTAGTCCAGGCTGGCCTGGAGCTCACTATATATCCCTAGTTGGCCTCACACTTGTGGTAATCTCCTTCCTCACCTTCCTAAGTGCTAGAAATACACGTGTGCCACAGCACGCCTGACTTGAAAAAGAATTTATGATACCAAAAAACAGAATAAGAAACAAAATAATCTCCAATAAAAATGATCAGTGTGGAAACTGTTATCAGGTTTTATCTAGCCTTACTATGAAGTATTTTATAGTAATTAAAAAAATAGGGTAGGATTTTATGTACTAATGACAGAAATCTCCCAGGCTTATTGTTTATCAGGAAAAAAGTCCTCCACAGAACATTACATAATACGTTATATAAAAGTCTTTTATTTTATTTGTGGTGCTCAAAACCAGTGCTTTATACATATTAGACAAATGCTTTAACACGGAGTTGTATGTCTAGCTTAAATATTTTACTTTATTTTGTTTCAGTTTGGGGACAGAATCTCAGTTATCCCAGGCTGGTCTTGAGCCCTGTATGTAGCTGAGAACCTTAAACTTCTCATCCTCCCTGTATGTAGCTGAGGACCTTGAACTTCTCATCCTCCTGTGCATCTCCCAAGTGCTGGGATTTCAGGTGTGCATCACCTTGCCCAGTTTCTTTATGTGATACTAAGGACTGAACCCAGGGCTTCATGCATGCTAAATAAGCATTCTACCAACTGAACCAAATCCCAACCCTAAATCTTTTAAAAAGCTGTTTGTAGATATATGTACTGTGTGTATCTACTACATGACTCTGTGTATGTGTGTGTTGTGTATATGTGTACATACCCATTTTTATTTGTGAATGAACAAAATCCTCTACCAGCTAAGTTGTTGTCTCACCTGTCGAGGGTAGTGACACTTTGGAGCCATAGTGAAGCAATTTCTCTCTTTTTATTCTGTATATTGTGTGTTTCAAGAAGAGTATTCCCACCTCCTACAAATGCAATGGAAATTCTGGTGGTAAGAAATCACCAGGGTAAACAAAGACTAAGCAGTGTTTTATGAGGACCGTGTCTTTAAAAGGATTCAGAGAAATTTGAAAAAGTCTTCAGAATATATTTTTTTTTCCTTCAGTCTTTGTTTCGTTATGCACACGGCTATTTGCACCATGGATTTGGCTTCAGGCCCAGCGAACACCCAGACCGAGTTCCTCGCTAGCCCAGTTCTAACAGGCAACTTTTCTACCTTCTTTTCCCTCAGATCCCTTTCTTTGAAGACTTTTGTAAAGGCATTAAAGCTGGTGATGCCTGTGAGAATCTGTTGGGCTATTCTGCGGTGTACAGAGTTTGCTTCGGAATGGCTTGTTTTTTCTTTGTATTTTGCCTGTTAACCTTGAAAATCAACAATAGCAAAGGCTGTCGGGCCCACATTCACAACGGGTAAGTCTTCTGTCTTCCTGGAGGGTGTGCCAGGATCCGCTCTACTTATTAGCACTGACTGCTCTTCCTCTGGTTAAAAATTTTGGCATTGATTTGGGGGCAGATGGAACTTTGAGTTACCCAGTGGCCTACAAACTACAGTGCTATTTGTAACGCGTGGTACCAGAATGGGAAATTCAGCGTAGACAGAGAGTTTATTGCTTGCACCAAGGCCTTCCCCTAGATGATTTCCACCCTTGCCCTGAAATGGAGTTTTGCACAATTGGGAGGCCATGCCAAGTGTGCCTAATTATGGAAAAGGCATTCTGCAGTCACTTAATCACTTCCCCTCCATTTGAAGAGAACACTACCAGTGGCAGAATCGTGGGTTGGCATGCTACCCTCCAAGAGTTCTTTTGTCCTTCTTTGAATATCATTTAAATGTATTTCCTCTTGTTTTTTCTTCCCAGCTTTTGGTTCTTTAAACTTCTGTTGTTGGGGGCCATGTGTTCAGGAGCTTTCTTCATTCCGGATCAAGAGACTTTTCTAAACGGTACTGTTGGGGTATCCTGGACTCCCCATTTATTTTGTTTTTATTCACTTTGTAAAACTGTTCAAAAGCATGGTCTAGGGTATCTTGGATATTTCAATTACTGATTTTTCCCGTGACTTAAAGTTCTAGGGGTTGGAGATTTAGCTCAGTGTTAGCACCCTTGCCTAGTAAATATAAGGCCCTGGGTTCAATCCCAGCAAATATGTGTGTTGCAGGGGCACTTTTAAAAGTTCTGCCTTATCTCCCATATCATCCTCCCCACCTGCCCACATCATCCTCTCCAACCCACTCCATTCCTCCCACATTCCAGGCAGCCTATGAGAAGACCTTTTGTTCCTATGTTGGCTAAAGAATTGAAATGATAATTTAAGGTTATTGGTCTGAAAAGAAAATGAGGCCCTTAAAGTGTGTTTGAAAACTGGTTTGGCACATCAGAGTGACCCCGCCAGTCCAAGGAATACCTTATTCTTTCTGAACACCACACAGAAAACGAGGCATCATGAAACAGAACCTTCTAGCTGTGAAAATCAGATAAAGGAGGTGTCCCCTAGTCTGTTTCTAAACTCACTTTCTGTGAAGTTATGTAACATTGAATTATATTTCTTATTGATATTTTATATCAAAAAGGACCCACTAATCATAGATGAAATAGGGCTCCTTTCTTTTCCTGAGCAAGAGTGAGAATGAATCTAAATTTCAGTGGATCAAAACACTCTTAAATCTAAATAGATTCACTTTTCTAATGGAGACAGTAAAAACATTCACATGGCAGTTCATAGGCTCCAGCCACACTTTACATACTTATATATTAGGGGCCAGCTAAATTTCGGGCCATATTAGTTTTTCATATGTTTCTTTAAAATGTTGTATGCAAGTCTTCCTTTTATCGTTAACAGGATTAGCTACTTTTTTATTCCCTGTGAAGATATACTTTTGTATATATTTTAGCATACTTAGGATATTATACCTAGTTGAAAAGTAACCTAAAAGATTTAAAATCCCTCAGATCAGCTCTAGCTCTGTCATTTTTATAGACAATCTACAATCCATATGGCCTGCGTGGTTCATCCAAGTTTATAGGTACTGTGTAACAGAGTCAATAGACCTGTGCCCTTGTTCCCTCATCCCCTCACTGGATGGATATTCAGGACTCTTTGCCCAATGAGATTTAAATTATTGATTTTTCTAGCAGTATTTCTTTTTTGCTTTTAAATTGTGAACCACTCTGGATTTTGTAAACTCCTGCATCTGTTGGGATAACCTTCAGTTTAGAGGAGGTTCCACTTGCACGTTCCAGAACCAGACTGCCATATTCAAGTCCCAGCCATGCCATTTATGTTGTATGAGGCTTTGCCAGCTGTGTTAATTTCTTTCCTGTTACTCTGATGAAATCCTCTGACAAAAGCAACTTAAGGGAGAAAAGACTCATTCTAGCTTATAGTTCAAAGGGATGTATATCTTTCATGATAGGGAAGTCAAGGCAGCAGGAATTTCCAGTGACTGGTCACATGGCATGTTCAGTCAGAAAAAAAGAAGAATAAATGCTTGCTTACTGCTCAGCTCCCTTTCTCCATTCTAGACATTCCAGGATTGTCTGCCCAGAGAAGGGTCCTGCCCACAGTTAAGATGGATCTTCCACCTCAGTTAACATAATTAAGATAATCCCCCATAGACATGCCCAGGGACCCATCTCTAGTGATTCTTGATTCTGCCAAGTTGACTATTCACTCTAACCATCACACCAACTCACATAGACTCCCAGTTTTTAGCAAGTATAAAGAGTGAATAGTGTCTACCTTGTATGGTTGTGTGGGAATTAAACGTATTAAAGGTATAATGACCATTCAGTAAAAATTATTATTTTCCTTTGAGCTAAACACATGGAATGCTCACCTCTCTGCCTTTTGGGTGGTGGTGTTTTGCAGCCTGGCGCTCTGTGGGAGCTGTGGGGGGCTTCCTCTTTATCTGTATCCAGCTCCTCCTGATTGTGGAGTTTGCACATAAATGGAACAAGAACTGGTATGTGATTTTTATGGAAAGCTATAAAATGAACCCACTCATTGAGTCAAAGAAGCTGCCTACCATTGAGAAAGGGCCTGCTCTGGATTTTATTGCAGAGCCATTGGGTCCAGCACTTGCCTGCACACCTGTGGGAACCTTTCCATTTTCTCCCCTCTGATACTGTGTTCTGTCCTGTCCATCCTTCTTGCTTGTGCCTTTCATGACCTGCTGTGTGGATCTTGTGCCACTATAAACCTGGGTAGGCTTCATCTAGTCCCCCATCCTTACAAGATTAAAAACAAAATAAGCAAAAACAAAACAAAAAACTCACAAAAAAACAAAACAAAACAAAAACCCTTAGGAACAAATTTGTCTTTTGCAAAGAATCTGTGATGAAATAGTTCTCCTCTTTAAAAAAACTTTTGTTTTGTCTCAGCTTCCCAAGACTCAAAGGATCACATCCCAGACTAAGTGAGAAATGCCTATTATTAATAGCTGGCTCTTTCTTTTTGATCGTCTTTGAGAAAATGACAACCAGACAAACATTCAACTCTTGTTCTAAAGCCAAGCTGACTGTGATTCTGAACAAAATATACTTAATTGCTCTCTGTCTTTATTTATTTTTGCGGTGCTGGTGATGAACTCTGGGTCTCTTGCATACTAGGCAAGTGTGTACTATTGAGAGTTGGCTCAGCAGTTAAGAGCACTGACTTCTCTTGCAGAGGACCCGGGCTCGATTCCTAGCACCCTCGTGGCAGCTATGAACCGTCCTTAACTCCAGTTCCAGGGGAATCCAAAGCCCTCTTCTGATCTCCTCAACATTGCGTGACACAGATGCACTCACATACATGCAGGCAATATACTCATACAAATAAAATAAAAATAATTTTTAAAAGTCTCTTTATACCCAGTAAAGTGTCTATTATTTTGTAGATATCTATTATCTATCATCTGTCTATCTATCTACCTACCTACCTACCTACCTATCATCTATCTATCACCTAAGATGATTTTTGAATTCATGGTCCTCCTATTTCTGCATTCTCAGTACAAGGATTATATGTATGTGCCTACCATGGCTGCTATTTTATAAATTTTCCTAGGCATCATTTATTTTATACCAAATTTTATTTTATTTATTTATTTTTTTAAATCAATGCCATGAAAGTGAGTCTTATTTTTGTGTTGGGTAAGACAAAACCCATTTCCACATTTTCTCAATACTTTACTATTTCAAATATATTCTTCAGCTTGGACATTGTTCTGTTTTTGATTCTTAAGGAGGAGGTAAGGAGATACAGTGGCAGCTGTTGGGACACAGCAGTAAAAACAGTGTAGTGTCAGTCATTCATTACTTGTTAAATATTAGAGAAAGTGCAGACAAAGAAAATGTTGCTAATATATTTTGCTGTTTTAAAAAGTCTTATTTCGGGGGCTGGAGAGATGGCTCAGTGGTCAAGAACACTGAATGTTCTTGCAGAAGACCCTGGTTCAAATCCCAGCACCCACATGGCAGCTAACAACTGTCTGTAACTCCAGTTCCAGGGGATCCAACAGCCTCTTCTAACCTCCACGGGCATTACACAATACCAGTACACTTATCTACATGCAGGCAATACACGCATACACATAAAAATAAATAAAATATTTTTTTTAAAAAGTCTTATCTTGGGCTGGAGAGATGGCTCAGTGGTTAAAAGCACTGACTACTGTTGCAGAGGACCAGAGTTCGATTCCCAGCACCCACATGGCGGCTAACAACCGTCTGTAACTCCAGTTCCAGGGGAATTTGATGCTCTCCTCTGACCTCCATGGGCATTGCATGACACAGGGGCACTTACACACATGCAGGCAATATACTCATATACAGAAAATAAAAATTATAAATAAAATTTTTAAAAAAGAATGTTCCATCTGAAAACTTCTGCAAATATCCTGCCAAGCCAGGTGCTTTGTGGTACAGTATCAGCACTTCTAGATACTGAGTGCTTGACTGTCTGTTGCATAGCAGTCCCTTGAGGATTCTGCGCTGACTCACTCCTCCTTTAGAACTTTGATTGATTCTGGAGCCATTTTTCTGGGATTAATTATCAATGCCAAGTTTTAACAGGCTTCTTGGAACACTTTGGTTGCTTTGAAAACTTTCTAGAAACTACTCAGTAAGAATGGCTTTTAAGAGCTTTGCAGCCATTAAAGTTGCTTTTAGACCAAAATCCTAATGAAAACCTTTTTTTTTTTGTCAACATACTTATAGTTGATTTGTCTGCCTAAAATTAGGAATAAGCCAGAAGCTTGCTAATATTGTTCTCTCTCTCCCTCTCTCTTTTTTTTTTTTCAACTTTTACGAGTTTTTTAAAATACAAGAGGTCATTTTTTGCTGTGTTTTTAAATGGACTCTTGATACTGGACTGATCCAGAAAACATGCTCATCAGTTTTAGTGGAACAACTTGCTGGATGGCACTTTTCCTTTCTTATGTTTGTTTTGTTTTTGTTTCTCTTTCTGTTTTGGAGACAAGGTCTTATTATATAACCCTGGCTGGCCTTGAACTCATAGAAATCTGTTTGCCTCTGCTTCCAAGTGCTAGGATTTAAAGGCCTGAATCACTATACCCAGCCTTCTTTCTGTTTGTTTTGTGGTTTTTGTAAATATACCAAGGAGAAGACCCCCAAATGCTGTAGGGTGGACACACCACCAGCCCCCAAGCCAGCAGAACACAGATTTGTAGTCCTTCCTCCTCCTCCTGGAGCTCTGACATTGGGAATGTCACCCGGCCTCTCTGACCCCAGATTTCATACTGTAAAATGCTGTGGTTGGTTGAACTAGTGTTTTTAATGGTTGTGGTTTTGTTTTATTTTGATTTTCTAAGTCATTTTGTGATTTGAAATGTCCGTTCTATATTATGATTGGAATGATGAAGGTAGGGCTGCCGGCCAGGTGGCTCACTTTGTAAAGGTGCTTGCTGCTGAGCCTGATGACCTGAGTTTTATCCCTGAGACCTTCATGGTGGAAGGAGAGAACTGCCTCTATAAATCTTTTATCTCCATACATATGCTGTGGCACACCTATGCCTCTCCATATGCCTCCTCCCATAAATAAACAGATAGTATATTTAGGTGTTATTAGTGAATATCTACTTTGAAAACATTCTAGATTTTATTTTATTTTTTGGTCTTTTTGAGACAGGATCTCCCTGTAGCCCCAGCTGGCCTAGAACTCGATATGTAGACCAGCTGGATTTGATCTCACAGAGATCTGCCTGCTTCTACCTCCCCAGCACTGGGATTAAAGGTGTGTGCCACTAAGTCCAGCTCAGCATTCTGGATTTTAAATTCGCTTTGTTAGTTTTACTTTAGTCCTAGTTCTCTCACTGAGCCTGAGCCTGAGCCCAGCCAGCCTTCTTGCTGTTGTATCTGTAGACTCTGCCATCATCTGGTCCTCTTCTGTTCTGTCTCAGAGCTTCTCATTCAGCATTTGGTCAATACGCTTTCAGAGTATTAAGTATGTGCCAGACAACACTGTGGTAGGCACGAAGACCATAAGGATGAATAGTCACAGTACTTGTTTGGACTGCCTCCAAAAGCAAGATGCTGTGAGGGGCACCAGATGAAGTTGGAGCAGCAGGAACAGCAGCTTCTTTGCTAACATTGCTGACCAAAGTTATTTCTTAATAACAACAGTCTTTATATGACTATTCAGTTAGCACCCATCATTTTCCAGGCACTGTCCTACACGGTGGCAGGAAGTCAGGGAATAGCCTGCTCTTTGAAGCTGATATTCTCTTGATGGGGAGGCAGATATTCAACACAGATTCATGCAATTATGTAAAAGGTTCATTTGTGCAAATGTAGAGTGAGAGGGTTCAAGAAAACAGGCTGTCCTGTGGGAGGACTCTGCTGAGACTTAAACTTGTTGTGCTTTTAAGGAGCACAGGGACATCTATGGCTGGGGTCCAGTGGTGAGGGGAGAGTGGAAAAGGTGACATCAAAGATTGCCCTGAGCCCAGTCATAGTGCCTTTGAAGGTCCATCATGCCTTACCTTTAGTTAGTTTTGTAGTGCTGGACAGGGCTTGCACCTACTAGGCAAACACTCTACCACTCTGCTGCATTCCCAGCCCTAAAGTCTTTGTTTTTTTAAGTGAAATATTAGGAGAACAGAAGAGTTTTGAAGGGAAGAATGTAGTTTAATCTTTCTGTGGGAAAAAGATTAAATAAAGCCATAGGTGCATGTTAAAAAGGCCAATGTGAGGGGATGTAGGTGAGGGGTGAAGTATGGAGCCAGGTTACAACAGTGGTCAGGTTCTGGTATAAGCTGAAGAAAGCTCAAGTCTGGGTGACTTTGGAGGTGGGGCTGGGAATGTGGAGGCTAGGAGAGTGACTGTAGTTCTGGTGTTTTCCATTTCTTCCCTGTTTTTCTACTGACAAGAAGAACTGATTGCAGTTCTGTGAGGTTGGAGGAGGGTGGTGTGAACATGGAGCCGTTCTTGATGTGCTCAGGTTCAGGTGCCAATTAGGCCTCCAAGTGGAGAAGTGTATAAGATGAGTCTGGACTTCAGGGGAGGGACAAAGACTGAATATTTAACTTCAAATATAATATAACTATAAAAGTACTTCAGGTACTAATACCATAACTCCCCAAACCAGTGGTGGAGCAACTGAACCCTGTTGCTCCCATGGGCCCACAAGCTCATCTTTTGATGTGCACCTCACTCTGCCTTGTCATTAGTTTTGGCTCCTAGTGTCTTGTTTCTCTCATTTCCTTTATGTGCCTTTCATGCAGGGTAATTCTGAGGTCATCACGGTGCTGGCTTGGTGTCATTATCCTTTTGGCTTTTCCTTCCCATTTTCTTTGTCTATGGCAACAGTAACTTTTCCATTATTAAAGCATTTTAGCTGGATTGCTTGAACACGTTCCAGTTTTGTGGAGACATTAAGCAAGTTGCTTTCTCTGAAAGCTTGGGAGAATGTGGTACAGAGAGCAACTGAATCAGAAGGCAGGTGACAGCAGTTCAGCCTGTCCTTTGTTCTTTCCTTGCATTTAGCATTTACAAACACCCTTCTCTTTGGTCTGAACAATTTCTAGAGTTGTATCACCACTTACTTCACCTCACCCCTTTATCAAGATTTATATAAACTGCAAAGCACATTCCTCTCGTAGTTTCTTTATAGTACACCCTGCTATGTTTTTCTTTCCCTTTCCTCCTTTTTCTATTTACATATTTGTGTATATGCAAAGGGTGCATGTATGTGTGAGTGCCCATTGTGTATACACATACATGTGGAAGCCAGAGGACAACCTCAGGTGTCATTCCTGAAGTGCCACACATCTTTTTTTGAGACAGGGTCTCTCAATGACTTGGAACTCTCCAAGTAGTCTAAACTGATGGCCGGAGAGGACCAGGAATCCACCTGCCTCCCCCTCCCCAGTTGGATTACAAATGCTCACCACCATGACCTGTTTTTTGTGTGTGAATTCTGGAACTTGAACTCCGGTCCTTATGCTTGTGGCAAGTTTCCTGATTGAGCTACCACCCTATACCCCAGTAACTGGTTTTTATTTTCCTGATTTTATTCTCTGCATTTTCACATCCACTTCTTTAATATTTTCTAGTAGTATTTTGGAGAAACAGTTCCATTGCAGGCCCTCTTTTTAGTACAGAGAGAAAAGAGCTGGGCGGGCAAGGCTTCTGCAGTGGAGCTGTCGTTTGCTTCTCATTAACGCAGGTAGCCTCAGAGGAGTGCTGGTAGCACTTGAGGGAGAGGCTGTGGCAGCTCTGAGCCTTGCATTCAGAGAGAAGACCTGAAGCCAACCACACTGCATTGCGTCTTTCTTCATACCTAAATATTGCCAGCACCTGTCCCAGGGCAGTTAGGATTCCGAGTGGATAAGCCAGAATAAAGTTGGTGGGTTTCATTTTAGTTGATGAACTCACTTGAATCAGACAAAGAAAATTCTCTCCTGTTTAAATATATTTCTAAGCTTGAACGAAGAAGTTGACAACTTAGGAGAACTTTCTAACTGAGGTGGATGTAATCATTGCTAGAAGGTATCTCCTGATGAGAGATTTCAGAGTCCTGGGTAGGGCCCGATGCCATCAGGGTCTGAGGGATGGAAGCACCAGAGGATGGAGGCCTTCTGACTTCTCTTCTCTCTCCATCTTGCCCACTTCCTGGAGAAACAGGACTGCAGGCACTACCAGTAACAAGCTGTGGTCTGCCTCCCTATCCCTGGTGACGCTCATCATGTACTCTGTTGCCGTTGGAGGCTTGATTTTGATGGCAGTATTTTACACACAGAAGGATGGCTGCATGGACAACAAAATTCTGCTTGGAGTGCATGGAGGCCTGTGCCTGCTCATTTCATTGGCAGCCATCTCACCCTGTGTCCAGAACCGTAAGCATGGATCACTGTCTTTATATTTTTCCTAAGTGATTTTGAGCAAACTCAGTGTTTTTTGTTTTTTATTTTTTTTATTTTAAAGCCCAGGGTATCCTTTAACTTACCATAGAGGAGATTCAAGTCTCTTTTTGTGTTCCAGGCTGTGCTAGAGGAATAGGCTTACTTAGTGGCCAGAAAGACCTTAACTTAAGCCAGTGATCAAAGACAAGGCCATGAACTAAAGGGAGCCTTTAAGGGGAAATGTGCTTAGTCTCTCTTAGGCAAGAGATTTATGAGTTAAATCTGTTGTGTTCTAGGGAGAGCTGAATGACAGGGCCCAGGAAGGAGCTGTTTCTGTTTCTGGGATTGTCTTAGTCAGGGGACCAGCAGCCAAGGACAGTGTGGAAGGAGTTAGAAAGCAGGAGATCCTATCCCTGCAGCCCCTGGCCTTATGAACTAACCTTCCCGAGACCCCAATTTTACCTAAGTGAGGTCAGCAGAGCTGGGTGAGCTTGGCTACACCCAAGTTATTTCAGATCCTATATACAGAGGAATAGACAGTGGGGTTGAAAGTACCTCAGAAAGTGGAGTTGTGAATTATCATTAATAAACCACCTCTGATGATGTCTTAAGCTAGCGTGCTTAAGACGTGCTATCTTAAGAGTTATAGAGATGTCCCCAGCCTGATGTTTCTTGAAGGGGTCTTACTCTGTAGATGATTAGCATACACATGACATTCAGATTTCTGGATAGGAAAAAGAAAATGTGAGCAATAAATGTATAGCCCCATTAGAATCCTTTCTAAAATAGTGAATTTTGAAAAGTGTCTAGCAACCAGGTGGGGTGGTACATGCCTTTAACCCCAGTACTTGGGATGCAGAGGCAAGAAAATCAGGAGTTCAAAGCCAGCCTTGGCTGCATAGGGAGTTTGAGGCTAGTGTGGGCTATATAAGACCCTGTCTCACCATCCCATAATTACTCTGAATCATCCTAACACTGTTTAAATATTGTAACTTAAAAAAGTCCCTTTCCCAACTAATACCAAGTCACACGGCCTTTCTCTTTAGCCTGAACTGGCTCTTGTATTTATCATGGCCAAAGGGTTTTTTGTTCATTGGCAGCTAAGAGCTTATGCTGCATGGACTGTCTGATGTAGAGCCTGTGTCTTGCTGCTGAGATTTAAAATCTGTCTCTATCTGTCTCTTGCCGTTCTCCAGGTCAGCCGCACTCTGGGTTGCTGCAGTCAGGACTCATAAGCTGCTATGTCACGTACCTCACTTTCTCAGCGCTGGCCAGTAAACCTGCAGAAGTAGGTAAGCCAGGCTTGCTGAGGAGGGCGAGTTGATGGTAAACCAGCCTTGCCCAGGAAGATGAGCTGGTAAGCCAGCCTTGCTCAGGAGGGTGAGCTGATGGTACAAGCATTTTCATTCCTCCAGGAATGAGATGTTGTTGAAAAGTCAGGGATTCAATTAATCAAAAAGCAGGAGGATGTAGACTTTTTCTTTGACAGTCTTTAACTGTGAAAGTGAAAATCCCTTCTTTTGAGTCTTCCTGCTGTGCAGAAAAGACAGGAAGACAGATCACCTCTTGAGTCTGCATTTAGGCCTTGTCAGCTTTTTACTGCCCTGTGTTGTCAAGAGCCATTTCATTTGATTATTTCTTTTATCCTGTTTTCTTGGCTCTGTTTTGTGTTGCTTCATAGTTACTAGTTTTTCCTCTTTCTGGGGGTTATCTCTTTGGGAGGGAGTGGGGAGAACATTGGGAGAAGGAAAGGAGACAGGATTTGAACTCAGATCTACCACTTGCTGGCAGGTGATCTCAAAGTGTTTGCTTTATTTTTATTTTATTTTATACTTATTGCTTTTAATTATGCATATCTGGGAGGAGGGGTAATTGCACATGAGTGCAGATGCCCCTAGAGGCCAGAGGTGTTGGATCCCCTGAAGCTGGAGTTGCAGACTCTACAAAAGCAGTTCTTAACTACTGAGTCATCTCTCCAATCCCTCAAAGTGCTTGTTTAAATGACATTTATTTGCAGAGACAACAGAGCACAGAGGTAGGAATATGACCCTTTGAGCCATACTGCCTGAGTCCTGAGTCCTATTCTATATAGTGGTTTAAAGAATTCTGTGAAAATGCCTATCATGTATGTTTCTCAATCAGTTAGAAAAGTGCCTGGCAAACACATAGCAGGTGTTTGTAAGGGTTACCTGTTACTATTGCAGAGTTATTACAACAATTATTTAAAAAGAATTTTAAGCTTGAGAAGAATTATAGTCTAAAATGTTATTATGAGCCCCCAATCCTTTCTAGCAAGTGCCCAAATTTTCATTTTGATTTTCAAGCTCATTATATTTTATCTTTGTCACTTTTGTGATAAATGTACACATACACACATATACATATGCTATACTTAAGAATATAGGAATGTATGAAGATTTGTGTATATTTGTATATAAGTGGTCTTATAAAAAATTAAGTAAATGTAGTCTCATTTGAATAGAAAATTGAAGTTGTTCAATTTAGAAAGCAAGGAGATGATAATCTGGAAGTTTTTTAGAATATACTCATATATATATATATAATGAGCTTGAA